GTAAATCAGATCTGCACATTCTCGAATAAGCCTAGCAGATATCTTGTCAAGGCCAGCTGCCTTTGACTTATTTAGATAATTCAGAAGTGGGAGAACTTTATTTGCACTGGTCGGACGGAGCTGAAACCGTTTATCTGTGCCAGTGACTGGAGGTATTTCTGATAGCCATCACTATTTGAAGAATGAAGATTGCTGGCAAGTTTAGGGCCGATAGTGGCAAAGTGATTGTTAAATTGGTTCGACAGCGCAGTTGGATTTGTTATTGACACCCCATTTACTTTCAGAGATGTTACCGATTTTTTCCCAGATTTTCGCCAAGTAAGTTCGTTGATGGTCTACCAAGTCTTTCTAGAATCGCCCATATACTCGTTAAAACTATTTTGATAATAGGCTTGCTTGGCTAATCTGATTTCATTATTTACTATATTGCGTTGTTTTTTAATAAAGTTCTGCGCGAGTGTGGCTAACCGTTTTAACAGATAATGAGCTTATTGATTGAGTCAGTGAAAAGACTGCATGCATGAGAAATAATCGGCTACAAGTCATGACGTTCAGACCGAGTGTAGCTGCAATCATGGACAAAACCTAGGGGACTCCAATATAAAAAGTGACCGGGGTGCTGGTCGTACCTTTTAGGGCTACGTAAAAATAAGACAATTTGGCACCTCTTACGGGTGTTCAGCCTCGTGGGGTCCATTTGCGGTACCTTTTAGGGTATTGAAGCGAAAAAGAAAATGACAGGAGATATTTGATGATCAACTTTACAAGTAGAAGGTATTCGAAGCAATCCTTTTTAACGCCATTAAAAATTATGAAAGTTTCAGCTAGTGTGGTTTTTAGAATTGGTATATTTTAGGGGTGAAAAAAATTTCAAGCCACACCCACAAAATGGGATCTAGGTCAAAATTTCCGACAAGTGACCCCGTCCTTTTCGCATGGGAGTCTCCCCTGGGGGGACAAAAGTCCTTGGGTCACTGATGTAATGCAACGAGTTATCTGTATTTTACCAATGAAGTTTGAAAAAGCACTGCTGTTATGCAACGCATACTGATTGTAAGCAGGAATGTCGTTTTTGGTTAGTGACGTTTGTAATTTAGTAATATGGCGTACTGTAAGTAGGCAATGTAAAATAACATTTCTAAGTTTGATAACTGTTAACTACTGTAGTAATAAAGCAAATTATAAGTAGATTTTAGTACTGTGCTGCAAATTATAAGCTTTGTAATGTACGTAATGTACAGTTAATGAAAAGTGTAAAAAAAGTATGTCGGGCCAATCTAATTCATTCAATAAGGAATTTAACGAAGCAGGTTTACAAATGTTGATTTTGCCGGAAAGATGCGACGATGTCTAGCTCGGTCGGTGCGCCGAACAGTGGACGCGGTAAATGACGTGTGCTGAACCAAACGGCTTTTTCCAGATCGGCTCATGCCAATCCGCGCCGACCAGACCTAAACAGTTCAATGTGCAGAGATTTCTTTCCCTTTTTTTTCCATTTAGCAGTCTCAGCGTGGTCACAGGCGGGTATGATACATGTATACACCTGATTGAAAAAACGTTGTCCGACCAAAAGTATAAGCCACAAGTTGTACCACTTTATAAAATAATGGCAAGACTAAAAAAAGAATGCGCACGATCATGAAAATTCAAGATTGGTTCCTGTCAGGTCAGCTGCATGCCCCAAGTGATGACTAAGAAAACCATTGAAACTGCTTACGCCTCCCCAAAAATAGCTAAGCTAAAAACAAAGAAGATAAATTACAAAATATTTTGTAATCGTTTTAGGGTTATTAGAGTATATAAGAAAATTGGAATGCTAAGAGCTTCGAGACATGCCCCCAGATTTACAACAGTATACTTTGGTGAAAATGAGATAAGTTCTTATAAAGAGACGATCTTCGTCTATTCAGGTTTTAGTGCATGTACACGGTCCGTAAGAATGCAAATTAACATTGGTTCGAAAGTTTCCCAGAAACTCCGCCACTAAGTCGTATCGTTTATGGTTTATACCTTTTTCTTGACAAATTTCTTCAGTTATAGGTGTATGTACATTAAGTTGTTTATAAAATAGCGGGCAAAGCAACGCTTTTAAATTCAGTATACGATGGGTCATTTTTGGAGGAAAGTAGATAATAACGCAATTGAAATAAATAAAAAATTAGGACAATGCAGTCGACCCCCTGTAAGGATTTCGCGTAGATCACATGACCCACCAAGCCATGTGTTTGTCATTGCGTCCCAGTTAGTCTGCGGTGTAAGACGTGTTTTTGTCCCTCCTCCTCCCCAGGCCCTATCCACGGTTTTCCTTTCAAGTATGTTTAAGTGTAAGCGTTTATAGTGCCCACACCTTTACTGGGCCAAACTTCTTATGAAAGTTGATATTTAAATAAAAGCGGCTATGGACCTTTGCCCACAGCCATATTAGCCCAGTCATTTGATGTGCTTTACAGTAGCCCAGTAAACAGAACTCAGTAAAGGCAGCACTAAGGTGTGTTCTTTTGGGGTGGAGGAAAAGGGCATAAATGCAAAAAGACGATACCTGCCAGTTTGATTTAACGCTTCATTTTATACCGGATAGATATACGATGCTAGTGGTAATCTAAACCCAGGGATTCTTGGCTAAAGCCATAGGCGTAGCTATTTTTCTTGGACAGTTCTCCCCTATGTAAAGCACCAACCCGTGAGACAAGGCCAGACCACAACACCGGGAACTACCTTCCCTACTCTTTGCGATAAGTGTGTGGGTTCGTTAATAAACATCCCCTGCTAACTATGTAACACTGAACATACACGAGACGGGGCCTGCGGTTTGTAGTCTTTGTCTGAACGTCTAACCATTTGTGGATGTAATAACAAAGACAGCACATTCTCTTAATTCGGGTATTTTAGGACCCTGAGTGTTGGTCCGGTCTGGGACTCGACCCCTCAACCTCCCGCACAGCAGACTGGAGCTCTACCAACTGAGCTAACCAGGCGGCAGTTAGTATCATTTTGCGTTCCATTGGGGAGAGAGGCACTTTGATCGTTTGTCAACGATTCCCTGTACACTTACAGGTCACCCGAGTATAATACATCAAGCCACACCGGAAAACTGATGAAACTGCGGCTGCCCCAGAAAAGGTGACCTCGAAAAAAAAAAAAACTCAATTATTTCGTTAGAATCAAATAACACCAGTAAAATAATATCTAACCATAACACTTCAGGAGGGGGGCGGGGACGGGGGGTGTGAGGCCGCAAAAAAACAAAAAAAACAAAAAAACAATATCTAAGGCTGTGGCGTATTTTTGCCTTTCCATTGACAATGATTGGACAAGACAGTCCCAAAACCCGCTTGATCATTTCATTTACCAACACGGTTAGAATAGTTGAAAGGGGATCGAGACACGATTGCATGTAGTTAAAAGAAAACGGCCATGATAGAGAAACGTACAATAGGACCGATACGGCGGACACAATAAAGCATCATACGCTTTTAGGGAGATAAGTCAACTTATTACACGCCAATGTTAAAACGATGTATAATCGTTCACCCTTTTTTTTTTCCAGTCGCTACACTTAAGGATGAAAACATTTCAATCTTTATTCAACTCTGCGGTATCCCAAATTTACTTGGCGGATGTTACTGTCTCGGGCGTCGCATGCTTGATATGATGATGAGATCGGCGAATCAAATAAAACAGGTATCTCAATAATCACATGCTAAGGGCTAATGTTTTTTTTTTCATACAATATCAATGGTTCCCATGAAGACATAACACTTTCAAGTCAATACTGTTAATAACGCTGTTGCGATCTGTCTGGCTTACTTGGTTGCGATAGAGCTATACCGCTCTTTTTAGCGACTTTCTTAAGGCAGTGAAACCTAGACGCTGAGGTTATAGCAATTTCATCCACAGACAGGGAATAAGATGAAAAATCGACTATGAAATCAGTCTGTAGTTAATAATGGTAATCATACGAGTGATTAACAAAATCAGACGACCGCAAAGCGGGAGTGCGAGTTTTTTTCTTCACGAGTATGATTACAGAAAGAATTGGACCGACACGATGTCCTGTAACCAATTGATCATAAACATAACAATTTTCGAAAAATACAAAGTTTAATTTGAAAAAATGTTTTGATAGCACAAACATTCGAAATGAGTTTTCTCCCTGTTGGTTTCAATAGTGAGATTGACCAAAAGTGTATGAATTCCTTCATCGAGCCAAATTTTGCTCGTTAGAGACTAAGAATGGTCACTTGGACCTATTCATGGCGAAAAAGAAAGTTTTGCAGAAAACTTGTGCTTTTCTTTAACCCTTCGAATACTAAACTTTCGCCAAAAAGTACCGTTTTTAACCGTTTAGTCAGGTTTTTTAGCTGCCATGACGCTAAATAAGCCTAAGTTTTGCTAAGAAAGCTTTTTTTTCACTAAAAGGAGAGATTTTTCGAGGATTGGGTACAAAATTGAGCAAAATTTCAATTCCGGGCATGCGCATAAGCCAAAATTTGGACTTTTTCTTATTGCCATTAACCGTTCTCAATTTCGTTTGTTGGCCCTTTCCTTTCTGTTTTTCTCGGCCCTTTTACACTGGCTACCTATTGCATTGTATGTTCTTTCTGGCTGCAGTGAAAAGTTGGATGTTAATTACGGGCGAAGCCTAGAAATGGACCTTGATCAATCATAGGCGTTGTGGAC